ATTGAAATGTACTCAGCCACGAAAAATCTTCGAAATCGTCACATTTTTCTTTCCTATAACACATTGATCGCGTTGTCACGTGGTCTCTGTCATAGTATTTTCAACCAATAGCAAATGTTCTTCTTCGTAAGATTAATTTCTTTCCCACGACTCCATTTGTTGTCATCCCCCATAATAAATGGTAAAGAAAGTATGGTGAAAATGGAACAAAAAAGGCCCTAGACCGAGGCGATAATAAATACATAGTAATTTAACATTCGCACGTGCGTGATTTTAATTTATTTTCAATATTTCATGTTTTATATATAGTTTGTTATATAGTTTAAGAATTTCGATGGATTGTAAAATAGATAATCGTTTATTTTGAGAGAACGAGAACTGTATGGAACCGGAAGTCTGTATCCCCTTCTAAAAATTAAATAAATAATCTATTCTATTCTATTCTATTCGCTTTCCTGAATTATTTTATTAACAATTATAAATTAAGATAATATATTACTGTTATTATCTCTTATTTGTTATTATCTTCGTAAGCTTCAAGTACCAAAAGTCTTCTACTACCCCTGAAGATTTAGATAAATAAATAAACGACGTGGAAATTCGGAAATTTCGTTCGAAAAATAAAATCGAATCGTGGTATCTTCTACGAATCGATGGCTTGTTCCAAGAGTGACGTAAAAGTTGATAAAATACGTGGGGCGATAGGCTGTCGTAATGGTCGCCTCGCGATTTCTTCGAGCACCGTTTTCTATTGGGCTCCACGGTCGTATAACGGGGCGTCGGTGCATTTTAAATTCGGCCAACGAGGGCCGAACGTTTCTTTCGGACCACTCCGAGGGACAGAACCAACAAGAGGAAAAAAAGAAAAAATGCTCCAGATTTAACTGCTAGCTGTATTTCAAGGAAAACGCCGAGTCGCTGCACCGCCGTAAAATATACCGGGGAAATAATGCTCGTTTTAGAGAAAAAAGGGAGATCTGGGGAAAAAGATCGATACCGTTTTGCCTATCGGTAGGTGCTAATAAAGGCCGATAAGTTTACTTTCCCAGGGGATGAATTATGGCACCGAATGGTACCGTTGCTCCAGTTTCGGTTTGAGGTCGGAATTACACGAAATAAACTTTTACACCTCGTTACACTACCAGGTATTCAGGGCATCCATGGACTACCATCCAGACCTTCTTCTTCCACTCAGGGAAGTTAATAGAAATGCAACGACCTACGAACTGTCGAACGACGAATTATCACTTGGAAAAATGAAAACGTGACACGATCGACTAAAAATAGTCGATAACATTTACAATATTATATCATAATACTCAAACATGGCGCACGACATGGTGGATGATCTCGAAGCTCGAAGAAAATTACCAAACCACGTAGGAAGAACAAATTATCGCGTGAAATAAAACGAAAACGTGACGTTCGTTTAGAATTGCATGATAACATGTATAAAATGATACTATAATATTAAAAAATTGTATAAGATATAGCGAATGAATTTGTAGTTTGAAATAAGTTACCAAATCTAGTAACAAAATGGACTCCAGAGAAATTGCAGTTTTATAAGTCGATATTGTAAAAATTCAGTGGTCAGACGACAACTAGGATACGATAGAGGGTCAATCCATGTTTAATTAATTAATTAATTAATATTCGGTGTTTCTTGGGCAGAATGATATTTCTTATGATAGAATAAGAAAATTGAAGGCAGAATTATGACGGTGATATTTCGACTGGGTATTCGATTTCATTGTTCTCGCGTGCCATAATGTAGCGTTCGTTTTTCCGCTTTTGGGATGAATTAATGGCGAATCAATGCGAGTTCCGGAGTTGGTTGGTGGATGAAAGAGACGCGTTAAAGATTAACGCGAAGTAGAGATTTCGGTGTCGTCGTAAACGTCGAACCGGTCGTGCAAAAATTATTAGCAATCTCTGATCCAATTTTGAACATGGCGCTCGTTTTCCTAGAAATTGCCACTCTATACCTGAATTCGTTGGAATTTTTTACGATGATTTATTGGCCGCGTGTACACGTTCTGTTCGTTGCCAGGGATGAGTAAGACGGAATCATTGGTAAAATAACTGGAAGAATGGATAATGGAGTTTAATCTAATTTCGCGCGACAGTGCTAGGGAATATCTGTACGTAATATCCCGTACCTGTCTAGACCATATACTCGCTCAATAAAGGTACTTACGCTCATTCATGAGTACTGCAGGATACAATGTTTACCCCTGGTTCAATCGAACCAATGAATAAACTATCATGTAATTACATATTTTTATTATGCCTAATTTATTACGTATCAAAACATAGAATAGGCTAAACAGAAACTTCCTAATTAATTAACGCGTTTTAATCATAAGTGATTAGATTCACTTAGAGTTAAGCGAATAATAATGTTTTGTTCAAAGTTGAGAATCTACACGAAGACTCCAAAATTCAGTACATAATTTTTCGCCATAAATTATAAGGTGAAATTATTACTATAAGATAACGACTGAAATTTAATAAATAATAATATTTTCATAAATTTTAAAGTGTAGTTATTGTTACTATATCAAGAATCCAGTTTAAGTAAATGATAATATTTTCATTCAAGTCAGAAAGTGGAATTGTTACTGCCACGAGAGAACTCCAATTTAGTTATGAATAATAATTTTTCATCGGTAGTTAAAAAATGAAATTATTTTATTTTTTTGTAGTTAAAAAATGAAGTTATATTATTTTTTTGTAGTTAAAATATGAAATTATTTTATTTTTTTGTAGTTAAAAAATGAAATTAATTATAAGTGATTAGATTTAATTAGAAATTAAGCGAATAATAATGTTTTGTCCAAAGTTAGGAACCTATACAAAGGCTCCAAAATTCAGTACATAATTTTTCGCCATAAATTATAAGGTGAAATTATTACTATAATATAACGACTGAAATTTAATAAATAATAATATTTTCATAAATTTTAAAGTGTAGTTATTGTTACTATATCAAGAATCCAATTTAAGTAAATGATAATACCTTCATTCAAGTCAGAAAGTGGAATTATTACTGTCACAGGAAAACTCCGATTTTACTATATCAAGAATCCAATTTAAGTAAATGATAATATCTTCATTCAAGTCAGAAAGTGGAATTATTACTGTCACAGGAAAACTCCGATCTAGTTACAAACATCTAAATAATAATTTTTCATGGGCAGTTAAAAAATGAGATTATTACCGCTAAAAGTAACAAGTTTTTATTTCGTTTTACCTAACGTTGCTGACGTTCCTATGAAAGTTTCGTTGGACGAAATAAATGGTTCACGGGACTTCGTTTGCATGCGCTCGGGAAGAGGAACAGAAGAACGGAACGATGCAATTTTTACAATCGTACGGTCGTTTAAAATAGAGCAAAGTTTTTACGAGGACAGTCGTGCTTGAAGAAAACACCGTAATAGTGGTAGAAACCGGAGTTCCTTGCTTTTTATGGCGTTATTGCAGGGTCTCTTAGAGAAAAATTTGCCATCTTCAGGCATGCTTGTTACAATAGCTGCAGCCGTTTGGATATTTTTTCCAGCAGTCTCAGCTTGGCATGCTTTCGCACTGATTAGAAATAACTACGTATGTCAACCGAGATCGAGTATTTTGCAAACGATGAAAAGACCCTAAAATGTTCAAATAAAATAATCTTGGAAACGAAAAATAATTATAACAAGCGACTAATAAGTTTAGAGATCAAATAACTGTTTCCTTTTCTAAAAATTCTATATTATTAAACAAGCGAAAATTAATTTCCCTTTTGTAGACACATTAGAAGAATGATGAAAAATATATTACTTAAATAAACATAAAAGATATAGCAACACACGAAACTTTATTATTTATTCTTTCGCAAGAACGTCTCAACGTGTTCTTTCATTCAGGTGAAACATTCACACCTATCGATTATGAATTAAAATATTATTTCTAAATATTCCATCCATTACTATAACTTGACTATGTTATATACAAGTAAATTAAGTTTCGTAGATATCATTATACAATTTTTATTTTCAGGGTATGCAATGAGATTCCTAGAATCTTGAAGAAATTCCTCGACACGCTGTATGAAACGATTCAAATTAATACAGTATCCCTGGAACACCAAAATTCACTGTATAATTGCACTAAATGCCTACTTCTGTCACACATATTTCCAAATAACAAAGAATTCTTCACGATCACAATCCCATATCCAAAATTAAATACCTTCAAACCCAACAACCACCAAACGTCATCCACTAAAATTCCAAGCCTATCCAAATCGCTATTGCCTAAAAATTCTGAACAAAAATTAAGTACACCGTTAAAATTTCGATCGAGCGGGTCCAGCAGCTTCCGGAACGACGCTGGAACTTTTTCCACGCGGAAGTTGTGCTCGGTAATGCGAAGGGAAAAGGTAGAGGGAAATAGAGGTTCGCTGTGCAAAATTGAAGTTCATCAGCGCGCGGAAGTTCACAGAGGGCCAATTCGACCGAATTTGCGCGAGGAAATAACGACAGATAATTTCCGCGAGCTTGCATGCATAAGCTGATGCTGTTGGCTCATCTCGAGAAAAATGCATCTTCGCGCAGAGGGGTCGAGAGCGGGGTTTAACGGGAGAAAATAGGCAGAGCCACGAGTCCGCTGGGCCAATGAGAGCCCGATGCACAAGGCACCGACCAATCGGGGAGCGTGACCGAACGATGGTTGCTCGGCGGATTGGCAAGGTTGTATAAATTGCTGTTTCACTGGTTGGTCCTTTCAGTTACACGTTAGCATCTCTTGCTGGAGTTCCGTTGGACGGTAACAGAAGGATCAGTTCGTAGTAACTAGGGGTTGTTTCGCGTTAAAAGGAAAATAACCCTTATGAAACAGTGGCGGCGACGAGACAAACTCGCGAGAAAGAAGACAGTGTGAACAGTGGTGTTTGGAGAAACAAGAGGAACAAGTGGAATAATACGTTTGCGGCCGACGACGGCAGGAAAGTGGACAGTATGCAAGGCTATCAGAGGAATTTCGAGGATCAACAAAGGGATCAGAGGGAGGAAGAGACGATCGTGGTGGATCTTGTGCCTCCGCAGTATCAGCTCAGCCCTCCGCATAGTCCGCCGCCGGGAAACATGCCGAAGACGCCAGAAAAAGGTGAGTGTCCAACGCTTTTCGCGAGTTTCCTTTACCAAGCTTCATCTCGTCGGAAGATTGCAACCTTGCGAGATCATTTACCTCATATTTACTTCCGATATTCCTCTACGTATATCGAGAGATTCGCGTGGGAGCTTGCAATTAATTGTCAGCTCGTTAAAAAGTTCGGGTCAGTTTTGAAAGTTGGGTTTTAAAGTGGACTATTAACGGGAATAGGGTATCGCCGATAAATAAACAGAGAGGTATGAAGGGAACGGGTTTTCGGAGAACTGGAACCACGTAGAGTGGATGAAACTCGCGCTAGACTCGTGTTCCCGAAGAATAAATAGGCAATAACAAGCGAGTAGAATAGTTAGGGCGTTAATTACTCGAAAGGTTAATCCAATTGATTGTCCGTTGTTGGGGTGCCGATGAACATTAGGCCGTCCTCTAGACTCCAGCAGGGTAACGTCCATTCAGCGTGGGACGGTCGTGAAAATAAATAAAGCTCGAAGAAAATGGTCCAAGCCCTTCATGGAAAAGCGTCCTCGCGGTTTATTGCGGTAATTATTTTATGGTTGCTCCCTGATTACCGAAAGCTCGTTCCGAAAGATCAGTTTATTGCCAGGGGTTCCGGAATCGGTCGTCCATAGTCGCGAAATTTTCCCTGGTACCCCTTGCCTTTGTTCCTCTTTCAAAAAGACGTTAATAGCTCCCCAAATACACGTCGAAATAAAATATTCCTCTTTTCTCATCGCCTTCATTTTTTAAGTCGTTAATCCCTCAGTCACATGGACGTTGTTTCAAATTCTTTGGCAAACGGTATTCGTAATCGGTTCGCTGATTGGCGTTTAGTCAGAGCAGTAGGAAATTAGATTTTTCGTTAGTCGATTAAAGAGAAAATTCGGGTCTCCGAAAAGGAGTCCAGGTGAGGTCCAGCGACCCTTCGAGATCCTTTCAGCTTCTTGGTCCTTTTCTTTACCGTTTACACGATTCTAAACGCGATCACCCGCTGCTTCCAGAGGCGACGGTGTGTAACCGCATCGCGAAAACAGGAACGAGCCTTCTCCGCGACAATACCGATTTTCTCCGAGACAGATTATAGCGTGTCGAACCACCGACCCGGTGCAGAGATGTATGACGTCCGCGTTTCGAGACAACTTGACCCGGCTAGTCTGTGGAAAATTCTTCCCTTTTCCCTTAACTGCTTTTAATCGCAGGAATCGATTCAGATCTCTACGAATTTTTGGGTTTAGAAAAATTGCGAGGAAATGTTATTATTATTAACTCTTTGAGTGAACCGTGATTCCGAGTTAACGAGGAATGTCGTTGTTTGTTCGCAGATTCGTCGCCTTCGCAGCAACAGCAACAGTCGTTATCCTTCATGGACCCGAACGTGAAGAGATACAGGACAGCGTTTACGAGGGAACAGTTGTCGCGATTGGAGAAAGAATTTCACAGAGAGAATTACGTGACCAGGCCCAGGAGATGCGAATTAGCCAAAGACTTACAGCTGCCGGAATCCACGATCAAGGTGCTTAGAGACTTTAATTATTGAACGAACAATTAGACAAATCGTTTCATCCTCTCCGCATGCCATTACGACACTGTATTTATCGAGGATAAGCAAACGTATCGCAATAAAGTTCAGTAAACAATGAGCTCATCTTCCGGCCTACGCGTAGAAAAGTATTCTATTAACACCTTGGTGTGTTTAATTAATGTCGGTAATCGACAGCGACGAAGGTATACAGGGAAACGCCTTGAAGACCGTTCCATTCCTTCTTACGCAATTTCGTCAAACGTGCCTTCGCTCGAAATAGTAAAATTTCTTTCATTCGTTCAGCAAACACGAAATAATAGGGAATATTTCCGTCGATGCTTCGTGCGAATGGTAGGCCCAACGCGACGAATACTTAATCAAGGCAATTAAGAGTTTTTACCCGGGCTCCATGAATGAGAACGTCGGTCGTTTTTACACGGACCGCCATGTTTGATTGGCGATTATAGCTCGGGAAGAGGAGGAGACGGCTCGCCAGAGTTCTCTGCCGATTCTTTTTCTTTTTTCTCTCCCTCTCTCTTTCTCTGTCTCTCTTTCTCTGTTTCTCCGACGACCGAGCAAACAGTCAATCACGAAAAGCAAACAAAAGCTTCTTGGTCTTTGGTTTGCTTCGATCCCCTTGATCCTTTTTCCGTGACTTCTTAATTTCTTTCGACCACGACCGGTCGATCCGGTTCGAGGTGTTAAGCACTTTAATTAGCGGTTTTCCCGGGTTACCTTTGACTTTAATGGATCCCTTAATTTCTCATCTCGCGCTGCCTGGGCCGCACAATAGCTATAAAACCGCCTACCGATGGAAATGATCGAGGTGTTAAATGGTAGAAACGTTAGGCACCGGTCAGCCTCTATACCTCCGATCTCTTCCTATCTCTCGTAACGTCTATTCCAAATCTACACACCTCTTACACCTTACGTCACAACATTCGAACCCAAACCTAACCTCCTTCTACCACGTTCCCCGTTCAACCTGTACGATAAGCGACGTCGAAATCTAATCCGTAACCTTGTCTCGAATTGTAGGTCTGGTTTCAAAACCGTCGCATGAAGGACAAACGTCAGAGGATGGCGATGCCGTGGCCGTACGCCATGTACACGGACCCAACGCTAGCCACCCTGTTGGCAGCCACGGTGACACTGCCACCACCCCCGTACCACGGCGCTCCGGGTCTGCCACCGACCCACCTGGCCCCGAACTACCCCGCAGCTGCAGCTGCAGTCTATTACGCGGCCAGATACACGCCATATCCCGGTGCAGTGCCCACGACAAGCGCGTCGTCCCTTCATCGGCCGCATCCGCGCACAGCAGCAGCTTACCCGGCGCACCCTCATCTCCTTCAGCCTCACCCTTCGCTCCAACCCCTACATCTATCAGGCCTGGGCGTTCCTACGGTAGGCAACACCGCCTTCCAGGTGAACAGCCCACCCACGAGCGCGTCGACCACCTACAGACCGACCTTGCTACCCGAGCTCAGTCCTGCTCATTCGGACGCGTCGAGCGACTGCGACTGCGTCGGGACGCAGCCACATCACCCGCATCACGCCGGAAACGGCCAGCAGATACACGACAAGACCACCCCGCCACCCAGCACCCATCCAACCCCTCAGATCAAGCTACCGACAGGGATCAGCATCGCTGGCCTACCCACTAGTATCCAGGCGATCAGCGGGTTCGAAGGGAAGAATTCGTACAACGGTATCGTGTCCACGCCGACCAAGATCGAACCACCGAAACTGTTCCAGCCGTATAAGAACGATATATCCGAGAGAGCGTAAGGGTGATGGGAAATCGAGCAAAGCTGGTTAACTTTGATCGAATCCGAGAGACGGATGAAGTGGGTATCGCTATATATGAAGATGTTTTCGACATTGTCGAGGCTGACTGTAGGGTGTGCATATCGGTTGATATAGTATATCTATGATGTATCTTTGCTACGTTTTGAATGTTCGAAAGGTGTCCAGAGGGCTGTAAAAGTTTCTTAGGTGAAACCGTGAAACTGTACAAAAGTGTATTTTATCATAGTAGACTTAGAGAATAGGGATCGGCCCGACTGCCAATGGGACCGAGGCTGATAGCGTCCGGGGTGTAAATATCGTCGATTGATTGTAAAGAACTTGTACCTGTTAATAACGATAATGAATCGCTGTGCGACTTTTGTATAGTAGTGTCTGTAATGTAAATAGATAAACGCTTGGGTGTTATTAGAGACTTAGCGTGTAACGTTGTACAGTATAGAGTTTAAAGTAATTTATTATGACCATTATCTACGAGTTTGTAGAAACGCGGAAGATCCAGTAGGACGTTCCACGATGGTTCTTGCGGGAATCTTACGGTTAGATTGTCGATATTTATGCTTAAGTACCTAAGTGTCTACGTAAAGAGATACAGTTATATATATATAAATATATATATAAAATGTCTTTTTATATATATATGTGTATATATAGAAAGAGAGAGGGGAGAAATAAATATTATATATATGAACGATAAACTAATACAAATCTGGCTTTAACTTTCACCGAAACATTCCCCTATCGAATGGCTATTATTCACTTGAAGTGCATGAATATTTCCAATTTCTAACGATATCAGAAAATCATTTCGCAAAATTGTTACCGAAGTATATGAAATATATCAAATATTAATAAATTTGTTCATAGTAAAATAATAAGAGAAATGATAACGAATGATCGACATTTATTTCGTTTACTTCTTTCCTACTTATTAACGAGCAGAGTGCTACTTCCATGAAGCTCAGTCTGCGAGGTCTGAATGCACCCCTGTACCATTAGATCTTCTGAGACAACATCCATCGACTTTCAAATCCATCATACTTATTCCTCTCATCTTGTCAACCTTAGTAACACCCTCGATCCTCCTCGCGATTTCTATACATTTATTCGAGGTAGAGATAATTGGGCAACTCGTGAATTCGATTTGAATTTTAATTTTAATTTTTCTTCGCGAGATAATCGATTTTCCAATTTATACAGATTCTCATTCCCTATAATTAAATTCTGTTATAGATACAACCAACTAAGCACCTGTTAATACATGCGGCAAGATAAATTTCGAACCAAATATGAGGCGTATACGATGAGATAGAATTAAGGGTTGATTCAACCCCCATAAGAAGACCAACGGTTAATGACTTTTAGAAACGGCTCTAGGAAATACGTGGAACACGTTGAATAGATATAAATCACAGATAGTACGAGTACATCCGATTTCGAGCTATCGTCTGCACCCTTCTAGGGGGTGCAATAGGCAATTAACTCTTCGAACGATTCTGACGGGGAAACGAGATAATTCCGTATAAACGCCACCAGCTCAACAACCCATTGAGGTTTAACTATGAGTCTACACCACCCACGACCCTCCCGTTCCCTTTATTTGACGTCGACGAATTGTGTGCTTTGCGGGGTACCGCACTGGGGTGCGCAAACATGTCCTCGACCTGGCAGTATGGTTTCTGCGCTCTCGGAAGTCTGACGATTCTAATTTCTCTTCAGTCTATTAACGTTCAGTGTATTTCGTTTAATTTTATCACTTGAATTATTTTTGCGATTGTTGATATTTTATAAATATATTTTTATTCCTTGATAGATAACGATTCGAGCTGACAATTACACGAATGCAAGATCGAATATTGCATTGGCAGCTGCAATGAGACGAGATACCTGCCACTCGTAAAATCATAAAATCTCTAGCCTGCGAAGCATGGCGGGTGGAGTTAGGAAAAATCACCACGCTGATCTACCGTCATAAATATAAAACGAGTCGTTTTGTTGGTGGCCCGTAAAAAAATCATCGAAAAAATTTCGGAAGAAGACTATCAGCCGAATGGAGGTACGGGGTTCCGTGAGGAAATTATAAACTAAGCGTTATATTATCTACCCGAAAACTTGTTCCTGTAAAGCGTTTAGCCTTTTTCGACCGTCAAGTAGTCACAGGGGTAACTATTAACGCTTTGCATTTTCTCATCCGATATTTTTTCGTCGCTCTTTCACTTCCAAGCTATTTCTTGTTGCCCTTTGTTCGAGAAACACTTTGTCCTTTGATATTATACAGGGTTTTAACTTGTATTCCACGATTTCTAAAAGAAAAAGGAAAGATAATATAAGATATGATTTCTAAGAAAGATAGAAAAGAAAGGGGAAAAAGGGAAAAAATTGAGAAGACGAAGGTTCGTGAATAGAAATCAACCCCTATCACAAGATCGATCATTTTCTTCCTCTCCTACCAAGCGAGTTCATCAAATATTAATATCCAATTTATACCTTCGATACAAGGATCATCCCCCAATATACAAGCTCGCCCCTGCCAAATTACGTCGAGAACCCCCGGTTCAGGTCGTCACCCCCAGTTTTAGATGGTGGCCATCTTTCGAGGAATCACAGTCGATCGTGGAATTGCATTATCTTATCTGACGAGCCATTAGGTGCCGTTTAGACGGCTGTTTCCTAACAATCTATTTACAGTATTGTCCGAGGGGTAGATTGCGAGTAGTCTTCCTGCGTCAAGATAATAAGCATACAATAGCTCCCAGCTTCAGATAGCGATAATAACGCGTTATTTACGAGGCTTCTATATATACCAAGTTTCGAGGTATTTTATATAAAACATACCACAATTCCTTTTTATATGAAACATACAGAATCTTTAAATTTCATAATTCATAATTCTAAAGTATACTTTATCTTAAATTATACTGTATGTTTCATCTCGCTAAATTCATCTTGTAAAATATAGAATACAAAACCTAACTTAAACCTAAATGAATTTCTATGAACCTGATGATTTCAACAATTTTTCCCAAATTCAATTTGTAATCGAGTTACTCGTAGAGGTTTAGCCAATTCTCTGGATTGGAACTAATTGTGAGACTTTCCAATTTTCAAGTCACGGTTTGTCAGGAGATCTAGAGGGACGAGAAACAACGTAAATGTTAGTAAATGTTAGAGAATACTCACGGTTACGGATGTTTCGTTATCGTCGGTCGTAAGTGGCTTCGATGGGTCTTGTTGCAACCGCAGGAAGCGTTTCAGAGACCGGATCTTTTTTGTCCCGACGGAAGAAAAGGGAAACCGGAATTTCTGAGGCGGGTTTAAACCGTGATCGAGTTTGTCTCATCGCCGTAAAGAAATGTTGACAGCTTTTGGTCACGTCTCCATAGACCTCCCGTAGCTGCGATCCACGATGTTACATGTCCGCACGAGCTACACCGAAACACAGGACCCCCGTGCAGGCGAACGTATCCCTTGCGAATCGAATTTCGAATTTCACGCGCCATGGACATAGCCGGGAAAAAACTGTTCAAAGTCTGGATGAAACGTTTTCGCTGGACTTGTTTGGCAAACAGAGGATGCTGGTGAGAGGTTTCCATGGAGAATCGAATTTTTCCTAAGACGAGATTCTAGATCCCATGGAAGATTGTTCGTGATGGAAGATGGATCCTGCAATTATAAACTAAAATAAATCATATAGGAAATAAAAAAAGCATACAGGAGGAATGATCTAATGCTGAAACTAAGACTTATAATAGGATCCTAAATATTTGTATTCAGGATCAGAGTATAATATAGATCTGGTATAATGAAAATAAATGAGTATGCATGATAGACCTAGGTTTCTATTTTAACAAAAATTAATCTTAACTTTCCTCGAGTTGATCATCAACCAATGCTTAACTAGGGACAATCTGATTCTAGAAATTAATTTACCATGATATAAACTTTATCTTCAACTGGACGTCAATAAAATCCTCTCATCTTATAAATCTAATGGTATTTTCAGGTTCCAGAGGATCCAGAACGTCACGAATCAGCGCAAAAAGGTGTCATCGCTTGGAAGCGTCGAAGCTCGTTGCACTGGAACGGGGCTTTCTGGAAGATTCACGGGGAGGTGCGTGACGAAGGGACATTAGGCACAATATTTGGGTGAAGGCGAACCTGTGGCTAATTGAAAAGTCAAAACTGCTGAAAGGAGCTCCCTGTTAGCCGTGAAAGCGTGGAGGCGTAGCACCCCGCGGGACGTCCTGTGGCGTCTCTCACAAAAAGGGGCATGTTTGGCCCCCTGGCCGTGATCGAACCATGACGAGAGGCCCACCTTTTCCTCCGGAGTCCATCGCTAGGAGTCGGCACTGAAAAGAGATCCATCAAACTTATCATTCGGTAAGTAAATATTTTTATAAAAATATTTTCAATCTCATACTATCTATCATAAATTTCCTTCCAGTCGATATAAAAGTAGTACTTACAATTAGATTTCTGTTTATACTCCAATTTCGATGATCTTTTAATACTTTGTAGGAATCGACATTTTAAATAACTTCTCCCCGCGTGTATATAGAATATTCTGCCTTACTTTTCGAGGTATTTGTAAAAAGCCTTCGACATTATTACAACGAAACTTCGTCTCTTTGAAATCGGAGGATGTGCGATTCATCGACAAGTTTGCCCTGTTTCGTTTGGAATATTTAAATCTAAATTGATCGAAATTACATTACGATAAAAAAGTGTATGGAATATTAAAAAGGAAAAAGATTGGAAATCGCTACGATGATTCGACTGGGGGTCGGAGACCCCCATAGAAGTCTGTTAGGCAACAGGAGCCATTGGGCGCGTTATACAGCCGGTTATGCCATAAATGGTACAAACCGAACGATTTGGGTGCATCGTTGGTTTTTTCTGCAGAGGTGGAAGAAAAACGGGGCGCCTTTACGAGGACCATGAAGCATCCAGTTAGCGTTCATTCGAAGAAGTTAACCCTTTCT